TTTCAAGGAAACACGTTTTAGGGATCAAGTCTGGGGTCAGTATCTAGTCATCTTTATGTTTTACACTAGTTTTGTCAACCTTTATAAAATGACTTTCAGCTCAGGAGGCAGAGCAAGATGGTGGAATAGAAAGCTCCACTAATCATGCCCCCAGTGAAGACACCAAGCTAACAACTATCTACACAGAAAAACACCTTTATAAGAATGAAAAATCAGGCAAGCACTTACAGTACTTAATTTTACCTTCATATCACTGAAAGAGGCGCTGAAGAGATAGATAAAACAGTCCTGAGTCACTGACACCACCACTTTCCTACCCCTGGTAGATGTTGCGCAGTGCAGAGAGCATCTCTGGGCTATGGAGCAGGGAGAAAACAGCAGTTGTGAGGCACTGAACTCAGTGCTGTCCTGTTAGAGCAGAAAGGAAAAGCAGACCAAACCTAGCTGACGCCTGCCCACAGAGGGAGCATCTAAACCAGTGCTAGTCAGAAGGGAATCATTGATCCCAGTTGTCCAAACTTGAGTGCCCACAAGTCTCACAACCAAGGGCCAAAGTGCTCTTGGTCTCTAAGTAATTTTGAAAGGCAGTCTAGGCCATAAAGACTGCAATTCCTGGAAAGTCCTAGGCTGAACTAGGCCCAGAGACAGTGGACTGGTGGAGCATACTGAGGCACCAGCTGGGGCAGCCAAGGGAGTGCCGGGCTGCACAGCTCATGGCTCCAAAAGAGACCTCTTCCTTCTGCTTCAGGAGACGAGAGGGAAGAGTGGGAAGGACTTTGTTTTGCATCTCGGATACTTGTTTGGCCACAACAAGATAGGGCACTGGTGAGAGTCATGAGATCCCCATTCTAGGGCCTAGCTCCCAAATGACATTTCTATACACACAGCCAGAAGGAAACCCGCCTTGAAGGAAAAGACCCAGTCCTGCCAGTATTCACCATTTGCTAACTGAAGAGTCCTTGGGCCCTGAATAAGCAGCAGCAAAACTCAGGTACTACATCAGGGGCCTTGCTAAGTCTCTGAGACTTGCTGACTTCAAGTGAGACTCAGGACATTATCAGTCAAGGTGGCTACAGGGCAAATCTCCTTCTGCTTAACCAACGCAGAGGGAAAAGGCCAGGAAGGATGAGTCCCAGGCCAGGAAGCATTCACCACAAGGTGACTTAAGAGACCTTGGGCCTTAGAAGACCATCAGTGGTAGCTTGGCAGTACTCCTCATGGCCAAGGGTGGTGGTGTCTAGGGGTGAGGGTCCTGTGCCTTTGGAAAGGGAAGGGAGAGGTGGGAAGGACTGCATATTGTAGTTTGAGTGCCAGCTCAGCCATAATACAACAGAATACCAGCTATACTTCTAAAGTTTTTGACTCTAGTCCCTGACTCTCAGATGGCACTTCTGGACCCAGCTGGAGCCAGGCTTGAAGGACACAAGCCTGGCTGGCTTTGTCACCTGCTGACTGTAGAGCCTCAGGATCCTGAGCAGACATAGGCAGCAGTCAGGGAGTGGTGACAGCAGGCCTTGGGCAAGACCCAGTGCTGTGCTGGTTTTAGGTCTGACCTGGTGCAGTCATAGTGATGGTGGCCACAGTGGTGCTTGTGTCACTCCACTCCAGTGCTTGATGACTCAGAACAGAGAGAGAGAGAGAGAGAGAGAGAGAGAGACTCTGTATGTTTGAGAGAAAGTAAGGGAAGAAAACAAGAATCTCTGACTGATAATCCAGAAAATTCTCCTGGATCTTGTCCAAAACCATCAAGGCAGTACTTCTATGAGTCTGTAAGAACCACAGTGTGACTGGGATTGAGGTGTCCCCTAAAGCAGAGACAGCTTAGATTATAACATGCAAGCCCTTTCAAGTGTCTGGAAAACCTTCACAAGAAGGACAGCTACAAGTAAGCCTAGACAATGGAGGCTACAATAAATATCTATTCAATGCTCCATCACCAAAGAACATCTACTGGCCTCAACACCATTTAGGTAAAACATGACATCACCAAATGAATTAAATAAGGCACCAGGAACCAATGCTGGAGAAACAGAGTTATGTAACCTTTCAGACACAGAATTCAAAATAGCTGTGTTGAGGAAACTCAAAGAGATTCAAGATAATGCAGAGAAGAAATTCAGAATTTCATCAGATAAATTAAACAGAAATTGAAATAATTAAAAAGAAGTGAGCAGAAATTCTGGAGCTGAAAAATGCAATTGGCATACTAATCAATGCATCAGAATCCTTTAGTGACAGAATGGATCAAGCAGAAGAAAGAATTAGTGAGCTTGAAGACAGCCTATTGTGAAAATACACAGTCAGAGGAGACAAAATAAAGAATAAAAAAGATGCCAACAGGATGTAGTAGATACCTTCAAAATGACAAATCTAAGAGTTATTGGTCTTAAAGAGGAGGTAGATAAACACATAGGGGTAAAAAGTTTATTCAAAGGATCATAACCTAGAACTTCCCAAACCTAGAGAAAGATGTCAATATCCAATTACAAGAAAGTTATAGAACACCAAGCAAATTTAGCTCAAAGAAGACTACTTCAAGCATTTAATAATCAAACTTCCAAACATCAAGGATAAAGAAAAAAATCCTAAAAGCAACAAGAGAAAATAAACAACAAATAGCATATAATGAAGCTTCAATATGTCTGGCAGCAAACTTTTTGGTGGAAACCTTACAGACCAGGAGAGAGTAGCATGATATATTTAAAGTGCTGAAGGAAAAAAACCTTTTACCCTATGATGGTACCAGATCCATCCTACAAGAAATGCTAAAGAGAGTACTTCAATCAGAAAGGAAAGGACATTAATGAGCAATAAATAATCACCTGAAGGTACAAAACTTACTGGTAATAGTAAGTACACCCCAAACCACAGAATATTATAACACTGTAACTGTGGTATGTAAACTACTCTTATCCTAAGTAAAAGACTGAACCAAAGGGCTGGGCGTGGTGGCTCATGCCGATAATCTTAGCACTTTGGGAGGCCAAGGCAAGTGGATCACCTGAGGGCAGGAGTTTGAGACGAGCCTGGCCAACCTGGTGAAATGCCGTCTATACTAAAAATAGAAAAATTAGCTGGACATGGTGGCAGGCGCCTGTATTCCCAGCTACTCTGGAGGCTGAGACAGGAGAATCACTTGAACGTGCAATGAGCTGAGATTGCGCCATTGCACTCCAGTCTGGGTGACAGAGCGAGACTCCAACTCAAAAAAAAAAAAAAAAAAGACTGAACAATACACCAATTAAAACTAATAACTAACTACAACTTTTCAAGACATAATCAGTACAATAAAATATAAACAGAAACAACAAAAAGTTAAAAAGCAGAGGGATAAAGGTGAGTTTTTATTAGCTTTATTTTTGCTTGTTTATGCAAATAGTGTTAAGTTATCAGGTTAAAATAATGAGTGTTTTTTTTTCTGTTTTAATAATGCAAACACTTGGCATGGCAATCCAAATTTATTGAGCTACTGATGCTAAGTTATGCAAAGTCGTACCACCTTAATTAGGGCTTTTAGTTTACATTTGGCCATTTCAAAGTAGTTGTAACATGAGGTTGATCAATTTAAATGTTGTGGCTTTCTGTTGGATAGATATACTATCTTTACATCCAAACATTAATGCATACAAGGCAAAAAGGCATTGTTAGGTAAAACAACAACACTGAAAATTAGTCCTTGTGACAAATTATACATGATTAAAATTACTTCCCACATTTACGTCCACATTACTCATCCACCATTTAACACGTCAACCAGAATGTTACACCGTGAAACAATCAATAACAGGCAAAAATACTAGATCTGTATGTTTACACTTATATATGAGCAAGCAAGGGATTCACAGTGAGAATCTACAGCTGCAGAAGTCTGAAAGTAATTTAGAAAAATTTTTAAACCATTAAAAAAATGTTTGAAAATATCCACTTCTTGTTGTAGGCTCTCACTGTACACACAACTAAAAACACTGTTTCCTATGTACAAAAAAGTAAAAATATATTAAGAGATTTGAAAAGTCTGGACATTCCTTCCTAACAGATATCAAAGGCAACATCTTTAAGATACTATACTGAAAGGACTATCAAATTTTAAAGACAAGATCACTGTCTTCATAGCTTCTTTTTAAAACATTAAAAACCTATATAGCTGTGTTAATCAAAAATGTAGATTTTATACAATGATAATGATCTTGAATTTGTTTTAAGTATGATAAGCTACAAGTATCAACAAAGCAAAGTTATCTGGAGTAGTCTGTACAGGATCTCTTTGGACTTTCTTTTATTATGCTAAAATAGTGGTGCTTTTTAGGATTTGCATTATTGTACTCTCCAATACAAAGCATGGGGCATGTTCAAGTGTACAGTACACCATTTTCATACATGTACAACATTGGTGGATGAAAAATGTTGTAATTGGCATTAATACAGGATGTAGCTTTTGGGTTTACCAGCTGCATACTCTAGGACTATTAGATGAGTAAAAATCTCTCTTGTGATACTGGAAAGTTATTAGAATGTGCAAACTGATACAGTATCTTTCATGTCTCTTTTAAAGGGTACCACCACAGGAGAGTCTACTTAAGATGTTGATAGGTTTAACAAAGTTGGAATTGCTCAGGCACTGTTGAATTGGGCAACATTCTTCAGACCTAGCTCAGAGATATAATGCATTTAGTACATTAAAGCAGCTGACATGATGACTTTTTGCAAGCCTTCCCAGGCAATGGAGTTTTTCTGTTAATTTCTGTTAATTTGGAGAGCAATGGCTCTCCATAGTGCACTCAGTTCACTGCAACCTCTGCCTTCTGGGTTCAAGTGATTGTCCTGCCTCAGCCTCCTGAGTAGCTGGGATTAGAGGCATGTGCTACCATGCCCGGCTAACTTTGTATTTTTAGTAGAAACAGGGTTTTACCCTGTTGGTCAGGCTGGTCTTAAACTCCTGGCCTCAGGTGACCCACCTGCCTTGGCCTCCCAGAATGTTGGGATTACATTACATTTATTTTTTATTTTGGAAAAGATTCTAAGATTGCACAGTTGTTCCATTGTCTTGCTAGATTTTGACCTTGTTCCTTCCCTACAACTCTTTTATCTTCCAAGTCACCTTTATTACCAAGAATCATTGTGACGTCATCAGTGTCTTTGACTTGAAGACTCTGCTCTCTCAGATCTTGTAAATCATAAAATGTAGACTGTGGTTGGATGGTATAAGCTAATGCAAAGCCTTGTTCGTTTTTTATGTACAAATCCCTCATTGCTATAAATTGTTCTGTTCCTGTAGTATTCAAGATTTCAAGCATATAGAGTTGTGCATGTATTTCTACTTGATTTTCTGTAGTATTGTCTATTGTAGGATCATGTTTTTCTTTCTTTTTTTTTTTTTTTGAGATGGAGTTTTGCTCTTGTTACCCAGACTGGAGTGCAATGGCACGATCTCAGCGCACCGCAACCTCCACCTTCTGGGTTCAAGCAATTCTCCTGCCTCAGCCTCCCAATTAGCTGGGAATACAGGCGCGCACCATCATGCCCACCTAATTTTTGTATTTTTAGTAGAGATGGGGTTTCACCTTGTTGACCAGGATGGTCTCGATCTCTTGACCTCGTGATCCACCCACCTCGGCCTCCCAAAGTGCTGGGATTATAGGCGTGAGCCACCACGCCCGGCCATGTTTTTCAACAAAAATTCTTTGTACAAATTGTACAGTCAAAGCAGAATTTCCAACACTTCCTGAGCCAAGAATGACTAATTTATACTCAAGCATGATACAAATTTTTAAAACTTAGTACCTCTCATGCTGTCACCAGATCTCTGCCCCCGGTGCTGCTCCGTGCTTTTTCTGGGTTGCTACTCCAGGTGCTATGGTGGTCTTGCCTCTGCCACTGCCACTCTGGCTGGTTTATGTGCCTGAACAATGAGTTTGAAAATAGTATTTACAAGCCTCATGGTAACCTAAAATTAAAAAACATACAATGAATGCACAAAAAATAAAAAGCAAGAAACTAATTCATATCACCAGAGAAAATTATCTTCACTAGAGGAAGAAAATAATGAAAGAATGAAGGAAGACCACAAAACAATAAGAAAACAACAAAATGACAGGAGTAAGTCCTTACTTGCCCATAATAACCTTGAATATAAATCAGCGAAACTCTCTAATTGAAAGACACAGACTGGCTGAATGGATGACAAAAAAAATTTGATCTTTTGCCTACAAGAAACACACTTCACATATAAAGACACCCAGAGACTGAAAATAAAGGGTTGTGAAAAAATATTCCATGCCAAGAGCAGGAATAGCTATACTCACATCAGACAAAATAGAATTCAAGACAAAAGCAATAAGAAGAGAAGTAGGTCACTATATAATGATAAAGGGAGTCAACTCAGCAAGATGATACAATAATTTTAAATATATATGCACCCAACACTGGAGCACCCAAATATATATAAGAAATATTATTAGAGCTAAGGAGAAAGATAGATTCTAATACAGTAATAGCTGGAGACTTCCATACCTCACTTTCAGTATTGGACAGATCATTCAGACAGAAAATCAACAAGAAAACATCAGACTTAACCTGAACTATTGATCAAAAATGGATCAAATAGATATTTACAGAACATTTCACCCAAGAGCTCCAGAATACGCATTCTTTTTCTCAGCACATGGATCATTCCTAAGGATAGATCATACATTAGGTCACAAAACAAATCTTAAAACATTAAAAAATTGAAATAATATCAAGCATCTTCTCTGACCACAATGCAATAAAACTAGAAATTAATAGCAAGAGCAATTCTGGAAATGATTCACATACATAGAATTTAAACAATATGTTCCCGATTGACCAGTGAGTCAATGAAAAAATTAAGGAGGAAATTGAAAAATTTCTTGAAACAAATGATCATGAAAACGCAATATACCAAAACCTATGGCATACAGCAAAAGCTGTACTAAGAGAGAATTTTATAGCTCTAATGCTTACACCAAAAAAAAAAAAAAAAGAAAAAACTTCAAATGAACCATCTAAAGATGCATTTTAAAGAACTAGAAAGGCAAGAGCAAACCAAATCCAAAATTAGTAGAGGAAAAGAAATAATAAAGATCAGAGCAGGAAAAAAAAAATGAAAAAAATATCAATGAAACAAAAACATTGTTTTGAAAAATTAAATAAAATTGACAAACTTTTAGCCAGACTGAGAAAAAAAGAAAGAAGATAAAATAAATAAAATCAAAATGAAAAAGGAGACATTGCAACTGATATCTGTAGGTATTCAAAGGATTATTAGTGGCTTCTATGAGCAACTGTATGCTAACAAATGAAAACATATAGAAGCAATGGAGAAGTTCCTAGATACATAAAACTTGCCGATATTGAACCAGGAAAAAAATCCAAAACCTGAGCAGACCAATAACAAGTAATGAGATTGAAGCTGTAATAAAAGTCTCCCAGTAAAGAAAAGCCTGGGACCTAATACTTCATTGCTGAATGCTAGCAAACATTTAAAGAAAAACTAATACCAATCTTACTCAATTTATTTTGAAAAACAGAGCAGGAAGGAATACTTCCAAATTCATTCTTCGATATCAGAATTATCCTGATACTAAAACCAGACAAAGACACACCAAAAAAGAAAATTGCTGGCCAACCTTTGATGAATATTGATGCAAAAGTCTGCAACCAAATACTAGCAAATTGAATTCAACAATACATTAGGAAGACATCCCAACTAGAACAGGCAGACAAGAGAAAGATATTAAGGGTGTCCAAATTGGAAAGGAAGAAGTCAAATTATCCTTGTTTGCAGTTGATCTATCTTATATTTGGAGAAACCTGAAGACTCCACAAGAAAACTACTACAGTTGATAAGCAAATTTAGTAAAGTTGCAGGATACAAAACTAACATACAAAAATCAGTAGTAGAATTTCTATATGTCAAGAATGAACAATCTGAAAAAGAAATAAAAAAAGCAATCCCATTTACAATAGCTACAAATAAAATTAAGTATCTAAGGATTAACAAAGAAGTGAAAGATCTCTATAATGAAAACTGTAAATCACAGATTAAAGACACTAATTAGGACTCACAAAAATTGGAAAAAAATTCCATGTTCATTGATTGGAAGAATCTAAACTGTTAAAATGTCCATACTCCCCAAAGCAATCTACAGATTCAATGAAATCTCTATCAAAATATCAATGACATTCTTCACAGAAATAGAAAAAACAATCCTAAAATTTATGTTGAACCACAAGAGACCAAGAATAGGCTTCGGATAGCCAAAGCAATCCTAAGCAAAAGAATAAAATGGGAGGAATTACATTACTTGACTTCAAATTGTACTACAGAGCTATAGTAACCAAAACAGCATGGTACTGGCATAAAAATAAACACATAGACCAATGAAACAAACTAGAGAACCCAGAAACAAATCTACATACCTACAGTAAACTCATTTTTGACAAAGATACCAAGAACATACACTGGGGAAAAGACAATCTCTTCAATAAATGCTGTGGGGAAAACTGGATATCAGTATGCAAAAGAATGAAACTAGAACCCTATTTCGCTCCATATACAAAACTCAAATCAAAATGGACTAAAGACTTAAATCTAAGACCTCAAACCATGAAACTACTACAAAAAACATGGGGGAAATCTCTAGGACATTGGTAAGGGCAAAAATTTCTTGAGCAATACCCCACAAGCACAGGCAACCAAAGCAAAAATAGACAAGATCACATCAAGTAAAAAACCTTCTGTAGAGCAAAGGATACAATTAACAAAGTAAAAAGACAACCCATAGAATGGCAGAAAATATTTACAAACTACCCATCTGACAAGGGATTAATAACCAGAATATATAAGGAGCTCAAACGACTCGATAGGAGAAAATCGATTGATCCAATTAAAGGACAGATGAAAGATTTGAATAGACATTTCTGAAATGAAGATATATTAATGATAAACAGGCATATGAAAAGGTGTTCAACATCATTGATTTTCAGCAAAATGCATATCAAAACTACAATGGGATATCATCTTACCCAGTTAAAATGGCTTATGTCCAGAAGACGGGCAATAACAAATGAGGGTGGCAATGCAGAGAAAAGGGAACCCTTGTACATTTTTGGTGAGAATGTAAATCAATACAACCACTATGGAGAACAGTTTGAAGTTTCCTCAAAAAACTAAAAATTGAGATACTGTATGATCCAGCAATTCTTCTGCTGGGTGTATGTCCAAAAGAAGGGAAATGAGTGGGGCCGGGCGCGGTGGCTCAAGCCTGTAATCCCAGCACTTTGGGAGGCTAAGGCAGGTGGATCACGATGTCAAGAGATCGAGACCATCCTGGTCAACATGGTGAAACCCCGTCTCTACTAAAAAAATGCAAAAAATTAGCTGGGCATGGTGGTGCGTGCCTGTAGTCCCAGCTACTCAGGAGGCTGAGGCAGGAGAATTGCCTGAACCCAGGAGGAGGAGATTGCGGTGAGCCGAGATCGCGCCATTGCACTCCAGCCTGGGTAACAAGAGCGAAACTCGGTCTCAAAAAAAAAAAAAAAAAAAAAAAAAAAAAAAAAAAGAAAGGGAATCAGTGTTTCAAATAGATACGTGCATGCTAATGTTTGTTGCAAATGTAAGATTTGCAAGCAACCTAAGTGTGCATCAACAGATGAATGAATAAAGAAAATGTGGTACATATACGCAATTAAGAACCATTCAGCCATATTCAGTCATTTGCAGAACTGGAGATTATTATGTTAAGTGAATTGATCTTGGCACAGAAAGGCAAACATAGCATGTTTTCACTTACTTGTGGGATCTAAAAATCAAAACAATTGAATTCATGGACATAGAGAATAGAAGTATGGTTGCCAGAGGCTGGGAAGGGTCGTGGTGGGTGGAGTAGGGGGTGGAAGATGGGAACAGTTAATGGGCACAAAAAATGTAGAAAGAATAAAGAAGCCCTACTATTTGATAGCACAACAGGGTGACTATAGTCAATAATAATGAAAATATTAAAAATAATAGTTTAATACGTATAGTCAAAACTGTACATATTGAAATGACTTAGGGTGTACTTGGATTGTTAGCACCTCAGTGGATAAGTGCTTGAGGGAATGGACACCCAATTCTTGATGTGCTCACTTCACATTGCATCCCTGTTGCAAAACATCTGTACCCCATAAATCTATACACCTACTACGTACCCACAAAAATTAAAAAAAAAATCCAATGATAAATATGTTCAGCTCAAAACAAAATCTCAGGTATGTGTTACTCATAATGAGAACCTTATATTATTAAGAAAAGGTTAAGTTACATTTAGTACAATTTATTTAAGAAAAGAAGGAAGCTGGCCAGGCGCAATGGTTCATACCTGTAATTCCAGCACTTTGGGAGGCCGAGGTGGGCAGATCACGAGGTCAAGAGATCGAGATCATCCTGGCCAACATGGTGAAATCCCGTCTCTACTAAAAATACAAAAATTAGTTGTGGTGGTGCCCGCCTGTAGTCCCAGCTACTCGGGAGGCTGAGGCAAGAGAACTGCTTGAACCCAGGAGGCAGAGGTTGCAGTGAGCCAAGATTGCGGCACTGCACTCCAGCCTGGCGACAGAGTGTGACTCAGACTCAAAAAAACAAAACAAAACAAAACAAAAGAGAAAAATGAAAAGACAACAAGGAAGTTTATTTGACACCTTAGCTTACCATGTAGAAGGCATCACTACAAAAATATCTGGCTTTTAAGACTTATTA